CCCAAGATCAAATTATAGTATATTCTTTGGTTTCTAGTTGCACCGGCATGAGGATTCTATATTGGGAAGAAAGAAGATAAAAATAGAAATTAGAGCTTGAGTCATGTGGAGAAGGCAATTTTAAAAATATATGTTTATTTTCGAACAGAACATTATTTTCAGAGATCTCCCCTCGTGTGCCTCAAATGCTGATTCATCCTTTTTGTTCCTTATCAATCTTTGACCTTTGACCAGCTCAAAATTGCTGTAAATTTATATAGTTTTAAGCTCATTTGCTAGAATATTGTATGATGATGCCTTTTACGGTCGTAAAATGAGCTCGTTTTTAGGAGTGCATTGGCAACAATTTTTAGAGAGTTTAACTTTTGTTAATTAAAAGTGAATAAAATTATGAGCATATATCATTAAGTTAAATTGATCTATAAAATTATTAACAATTTTTAGAGTTTAACTTTTGTTAATTAAATCGGGACTTTGGGTATTGTAGGCGTATAAAAGTTGAGGAGGTAAAGGGGGCTATGCGTAAGATGAGCAGGGAAAGAACGATCGGGTCAGACGAAATTCTGGTGGAATTTTGGAAGAGCGTGGGTAGGGCAGCGGGTTTGGAATGACTAACTGGGTTATTCGATGTCATTTTTAAGACGAAGAGGATGCGTGAGGAATGGAGATGGAGTACGATGATCCTATTATATAAGAACAAGGATGATATCCAAAATTGTAATAATTATCGGGGCATCAAGCTACTGAGTCATACTATGAAAGCATGGGAGAGGGTGGTAGAGCGGAGGGTGAGGAAGATTGTATCTATCTCAGAGAACCAATTCGGATTTATGCCGGGGCGCTCAACTACAGAAGCCATTTACCTTGTTAGGAGGTTGATGGAGCAGTATAGGGAGAGAAAGCGGAATTTACATATGGTGTTCATCGACTTAGAGAAGGCATATGATAAAGTGGCGAGAGAGGTGTTATGGAGATGTTTGGAGGTTAGCAGCATTCCTGTTGCATACATTAGGGCTATTCAAGACACGTACGATGGTACTAAGACTCGGGTTAGGACAGTGAAAGGTGACTTTGAACACTTTACGGTTGTGATGGGGTTGCATCAGGGGTCAGCCTTTAGCCTATTTCTTTTTGCCCTGGCAATCGACGCGCTGACGCAACACATTCAAGGGGAAGTACCATGGTGCATGTTGTTTGTATATGACATTATACTGATTGACGAGACGCGAGGTGGTGTTAACGAGAGGTTGGAGGTTTGGAGGCAAACTCTGGAGTCTAAAGATTTCAAGTTGCACAGTACCAAAACAGAATACTTGGAGTGCAAATTCAGTAGCGCGACTCAGGTAGTGGACGACGATGTGAGGCTTGATTCACAAGTCATTCCTATGAGAGAAAGTTTCAAGTACCTTGGGTCTGCTATACAAAGGAATGGGGAGACCGACAAGGATGTCACACATCGTATTGGGGTGGGATTGATGAAATTGAGGCTTGCTTCCGTTGTTCTGTGTGATAAGAATGTGCCACCAAAAACTTAAAGGTAAGTTAGAGCGGTGGTCAAATCGACTATGCTATATGGGGCGGAGTGTTGGCCAGTCAAGAACTCCCATTACAGAAGATGAATGTGGCTGAAATGAGCACGTTGAGATGGATGTGCGGGTATACCAGGTTGGATAGGATTAGAAATGAAGTTATCCAGGACAAGGTTGTCGTGGCTCCTGTGGAGGATAAGATGCAGGAGGCGAGACTTAGATGGTCCGCGCATGTAAAGAGGAGAGACTCTGATGCTCCGGTGAGGAGGTGTGAGATGCTGGTGTTGGAGGGCTAACAGAGAGGTAAAGGCATGTCGAAAAATTATTGGGGTGAGGTGATTAGGCGAGATATGGCGTTGCTCCAGCTGATTGAGGATATGACCATAGATAGGAAGATGTGGAGGTTGAGAATAAAGGTAGAGGGTTAGGTAGCCGAGTGTTGTCCTTGTTTGTCACAGT